CAGGCTTCGGGATGTCTGGGTCCCCTGAGTTGAGCTGATGCTGGCGGAGCCATGTGCAGAGGACCCCCCTCTTTTTCTTTGCGACGACGGCTCACAGTCAGACGTTTAGGACGAGGAAGTCTTCCAGGGGAAGGAGCTCAGGAAAAGGGGCCCACGTTCCACCGAGTTTCTGCCTGGGCAGCAGGGAGGGTGAAGTGCTCAGTACTGGGGTTGGGACTACGGACTGGACCGGACCGGCAGGTGTGGGGGAGGGGAATCAAAAGGCTGTTTGATTGTCTGTTTTTCTTGTTTGTGACACAGACAACAAACAGTATGGTGGTTCCCAGAGGGAAGGGGTCGGGAGGACAGTAAAGGGGTCGAATGCCTGGTGAGGGCAGGGGACTTGACTTGGGTGGTGGGCACCCAGTGCAGTCTCCGGCGATGCAGCATAGAATTGCACACTTGGACCCTCTATAATCTTATTCATCAATGTCACCCAGCAATTTAACTAACAAGGAAGCCAGGGAGTTCCGAGGCCTCCAGCCACCAGGCTGGGTGAGCGAGTCAGCGCTAGGGACAGGGCTGAGCTGAACGCGCACAGGTCTCCCCTATCAGGGGGACTCGCCTGGAGGAGGGGACCGTGACCTCGGCCCCAGGCTGTTGGCAAGTCAGGCCCGGCCAGGACTTGCTATGCCAGTGGGCTGAGCAGTGGGTGTTGCTGGTCCACTGAGATGGAAATCCGAGGAGCCAGCTTCAAGGGACTCTCACTGGCTTGTCTCATGGACCAACTATGAGCAAAAATCGTCCTCAGAGCGGGTGCCAGGGCCCGAAAGAGGAGAGAAGCCGGAGACGGAGTTTAGGGGCCTGCGTGTTGTAAGGGAGCGAGGGAAACTGGGTGGCGAGCAGGGAGCAGATGGGGTCAGGAATGTTTTTAAAAAAATGTTTTTATTGATTTCAGAGAGGAAGGGAGAGGGAGAGTGAAACGTCAAGGATGAGAGAGAATCACTGATCGGCTGCCTCCTGCACGCCCTTCCCTGGGGATGGAGCCCGAGACCCAGGCACGAGCCCTGACCGGGAATCAAACCGTGACCTCCTGGTTCATAGGTCGAGGCTCAACCACTGAGCCACACCGTCCAGACAGGAGTGTGTGGTGTTTTTTTTTCTTTCTCTTTTTTCACTGGAGAAGTGACAGCGCGTGTGATGGGAAGGACCCAGGAGATGTGTTGGGAGGAACAGGAGGGAGAGTAGCAAAGGAGGGGGCGGGGCCCAAGTGGCAGGGAGGCCTTTACGGGGCAGGGGCACCAGGGCCAGGGGACAGGCTGGCCGCAGGCCCTGGAGGGCTCAGGGCAGGCTGGCATCACACTCCGGGCTCTGCTGTCACCCTGACCCAGCCAGGCCTGGCCCACCTCAGCCACTGTGTCTGCGCCCCAGTAAGCGCCTGTGGTGTGTGGGCGTCCCAGAGGTTCAGGCCTCAGCCCTCTGGGCCCTGGGCCAGCAGCAGGGTCAGTGCCCAGCAGGGGCGCCTGTCCTACCCAGGGTCTGGCCATGGCCCTGTAGCAGCGCCGGGGATCCAGCGCCCAGGATTCTGGCCACTGAACTAAGGCCCC